AAAGGAGAGAATACCTCTGGGCAGAGAGGCAGAAAACATTTACCAACTTCCTTGAATACATTACAAGATATTAATATTAACGAAAGTCCAAGTTATAAAAGGGAAATAACTTCCTAAAAATTTGTTTTCAGAATGATCCTCTTTATTTAACAAATGCACAAAGTCATGATAAGCAAGTATTCTAAGTTTCATGGTAATAACGTTTGAAAAGTTTGAATAATCAGCGACATTAAAGTTCAAGACACAACGACGATGAAGACAACTACACCAAAGCCAACATAACAGCTAAACATTTTCTTTGAAATAGAATATAAAATAGATAATGTTTAAATATAACTTTATTATACTATAGAAAATTACAAACTCTTACCTTTAATTCTCTCCCCTTTGTTTCAATGGGTAAAAGAATAGAAGCTATCGCCGCTAAAAGGGCCATAACTCCATAGGTGGTTATTGCCAAATATGCAGATACTTTTAACATTACCTGAAATAGCAGATATACTTAGGTTTATTAACATACTGAGGGTTGACCGCAAAACTGCAGTAACTTATATGAAATAAAGAAGAACTTACAACAGTTTGCTTGTCAACTCTTGATACAACACATATCTCTGTAATTCTCTATAATTCAATATCATTCTAACAAAACTTGTGGATGATTTAATACACAAAGAAAGGTCAAGATCATTTATGTGTCAAGGTCAAGTTTATGCTGGTCTACTTGAAGACATTGTCAAAAGGGTTGTTATGTCCAAGTAAGAAGTCAATTAATTAAGAAATAAACAAATAATGACCAATGTTAAATTTTGTGGACAGCAACAGCAATTATCACCTCAACTCAGCAGTGCACACAAATGCAATATACAACTTATGAGTATATTTCTTTATAATCTTTTTTAAACTTTTCTGTATTAAGTGGTCTAGTTAATCTATGTAGAATATTCAATTCTTATATTTTTATGATTTGTTACTTTAGGTTTTTAGTGGAGTTCCTTTAAATAGAATGGTTTCCTTCCATGAACCAGTCCAAAGTGCCTTGTGGAACTCAATCAAACAGTATCGAGGAGCAAGAGATTTGAAGTTTTTTATATATAACTTAGAGCTGCTAGAACTCCTGGCAGTATATTTGGTATAGAAGTATGATAACATTAATGTGTATTTAATGTATATTTACCTGAGCAACAAATGGAGTTACTATTGCACCTACTCTAGCCATGCCACTACAGGAACCTAGACCTATTGCCCTCATAGATGTTGGATAAACCTGAAAATTGTCATTTTGTTTAGCATTTTAATACAAAATAAATATGATAATATGAAACGGTGGTTGTGTTGGTAGTTTTTCTTCTAGATTATCGAAGTAAAAGCCACAATGAATTAACAAGAGCACAGTTCAGCTCAAAGACACATTAAAACTCACTTTGTGACAATAAAAAAATGACTTACTTCTGGTGTATAGACATAGGCTGCTTGGAAAGCCCCAGATATCAAGGCTCTTGCAACAAACAGGAAAAATGTCAGCACAGGTCTGTAATATAATAATATCAATACAATGACAATACAAGATTATTTTAAGAAATAATATTTATATAATTTATTATTGCAAATATATAATTGGCAAATTTGATAAATCAATATCTCAATATCTTCTGCTATATAACAAGAGGACCATGATTGCCCTAGATCGCTCACCTGACTTATCAAACTCATCCAAACAATTACCTAGACAAGCATTCCGACCAAGTCTCCAATAACAGGTGAGTCCAAAATGTGACCACTACCCAGTGTTAACAAGGATTATCCATATTTGAGCAGTGCCGACCTAGTTTTTTACCCAGGTGACACATATTCAAACTTGACCTAGAAATCATCAAAACAAAACTTTCAGACCAATTTCCAGGACACTTGGATCAAAACAGTAGCAACTAGAGTGTTAACAAGATTTTTCTAATTTTTAGCTCCGGTGACCTAGTTTCACATGCGATTTCGAACTCATCCAAGCAATTACCTAGACAAGGCATCCTGACCAAGTTTGATGATAATTGAGTCGAAAAATGTGACCCACTAGAATGTTAACAAGGTTTTTCCATATTTGGGCGCAGTGTGACCTAGTTTTTCATTCCAAAAGATGACCCATGTTCGATCTTGACAACAAACTTTCAGACCAATTAACAGAATATTTGGATCACACCAGTAGCCACTAGAGTGTTAACAAGATTTTTCTATTTTTAGCTCCTGTGACCTACTTTTTCATCTGAGATGACCCATGTTCGAACTCATCCGAGCTAACACCTAGACAAGCATCTTGATCAAGTTTGATGATGATTGATGCAAAAATGTGACCGCTAGAGTGTTAACAAGGTTTTTCTATTTTTAGCTCCGGTGACCTACTTTTTCATCCGAGATGACCCATATTCAAACTCATCCGAGCTATCACCTAGACAAACATCTTGACAAAGTTTGATGATGACTGATGCAAAAATGTGACAGCTAGAGTGTTAACAAGGTTTTTTCTATTTTTAGCTCCGGTGACCTACTTTTTCATCCGAGATGACCCATGTTCGAACTCATCCGAGCTATCACCTAGACAAGCATCTTGACCAAGTTTGATGATGATTGATGCAAAAATGTGACCGCTAGAGTGTTAACAAGGTTTTTTCTATTTTTAGCTCCGGTGACCTACTTTTTTCATCCGAGATGACCCATGTTAGAACTCATCCAAAGCTATCAACTAGACAAGCATCCTGACCAAGTTTGATAATGATTGATGCAAAAATGTGACCGCTAGAGTGTTAACAAGGTTTTTCTATTTATAGCTCCGGTGACCTAGTTTTTCATCCAAGATGACCCATATTCAAAGTCATCCGAGCTCTTATCTAAACAAGCATCTTGACAAAGTTTGATGATGATTGGGGCAAAAATGTGACCACTAGAGTGTTCACAAGGTTTTTCTATTTTTAGCTCCTGTGACCTAGTTTTTCATCAGAGATGACCTATGTTCGAACTCATCCAAGCAATTGACTACACAAGCAATCTGACCAAGTTTGATGAAGATTGGTTTCAAAAATGTGACCACTAGAGTGTTCACAGGTTTTCTATTTATAGCTCCTGTGACCTACTTTTCATCCGAGATGACCCATGTTCGAAACTCATCCGAGCTATCACCTAGACAAACATCCTGACCAAGTTTGATGATGATTGGGTCAAAAATGTGACCTCTAGAGTGTTCACAAGGTTTTTCTATTTTTAGCTCTTGTGACCTAGTTTTTCATCAGAGATGAGCCATGTTCGAACTCATCCGAGCTTTCAACTAGATAAGCATCCTGACCAAGTTTGATGATTGAGGCAAAAATGCGACCGCTAGAGTGTTCACATGCAATTGTGGACGTACGACGGACGGACGGACGACGGACATTCACCGATCCTAAAAGCTCACCCTGAGCAAACTCAGGTGAGCTAAAAATATATTATGCTTATTTATTTTCACATATATTTAACCATATATTTTCCTTTTTTTTTAATTTATCAGTTTTGGAACAGTAGCACCAGAATTACTATGAAGGTTAAAAAAAATATATTCACATATTTTTTATGGCGGTAAATATGTGTAAAAGTGTTTGTTATAAAACTGACAACTATTACCTATTTGTGCTGATTTCAACAAATATTTGATTTCATTTCAGTGGTCTATCCATACTTTCCTGGATAACTAAACAGTAATCACCAACTTCTCTTTAAGTTACTGAATCAGATTTTGTTTGTTTGTTTGATTGGGTTTTACGACACACCCACACATTATAGGTCATATGGCGATGTTCCAGCTTTACTGGTGGAGAAAGACCTCAGGTGCCCTTTCGTGCATTATTTCAGGCACGAACAGGCACCCGTGTAGAACCAACCCGTTAGCTAGTTGGATAACTTCCTCACTTAGAAAATCCAAAGTCCCTGTCGGGATTCGAACCCACAGCAGTGAGGGGCCAGTGGTCTGAAGTCAAGGATCTTAACCACTCTGCCACATAGGCCCCACTTTTCTGATTTGAGACAAATGACCGTTAGACTCAATGTGTGAGATCATTTGTCACAGAGAAATTTTGCTGCACTTACTCAGGATCAAACTAGCAACCCCTGATAACAAATCAGAATGATGCTTTTCCTACTGAGCTAAGCAAACAGATATCCTTTCCTAGTTGCAACTTTGGAAATACATTTTTTATCACTTTAGGGGAAGTTAAAAAGCAAATACTGGGTGGATTCTCCCTAAAAATTCACTGGTTATATTTTCCTATGGTGGTAAAATAGAAAAGAACTAATTTTATTAAAAATTCCAGGAGAGACAGACAATGATGAACTATCCCTCTTCCATTTAAAAAAAAAAGAGGTAAACCTGGAAAATAAGTGTTGAATATAGTATGCATAAACAAAGGAAAGAAAGCTGAACCAGCCCAGTATTACATTAGAAAGCACACCAGTTACTTCTCACCTGAGAGAAAAATATTCTTACCTTGTTGTACATATATTTGCTAGAAGAACAAAAACAGCGAAGAAGAAAAACTCTACAGCCATGGTAAACTTTCTGCCTATCCTTTCAATGATAAACACAGTTAGAAATAAACCTGAAAATAATAATTGTCAAAATTCTAATCCCAAAAAATGTTCATATTATGTTAAGAGATCGGGAATTGTACATGTAAATGTATACAATCACTACAATAGCTTCAATAATCCTGGCAGGAAAATTGAAATTCTAGCATGCAATTGGGAGCCATATATACATGTATATAACACTGTTAAAGAAGATGTGCAAGTAAAGAGTTGTTTATTTTACCTACCTACCTACATACATACATACCATACATAGATACATACATACATATTCTCATCACCCCTATAAATAAGAGCACCACATGCAAAGGCAACCACTATCAATAACCAATATTGACCAAAATTCTAAGTTAAACAGGGGCTCAACTCCAAAAATAGAGCTTTCAGAATTATGCCTCTTGTCTAACCACTGCATCTTGTGATGACAAGCAAGTATTCTAAGTTTCATGTTGATAACTTATAAAATCTTGGAATAATGGACTACATTAAAAGTTTTTGCTTAATGACAACAACAATTACGCAGCAATCGTAATAGCTAGAATATTCTTCAAAACAGATCACCTAAAAAGTAACGGAATGCAAGATTACCATACCTGGAAATTCTGCTAGTGTTGTCCAGGTAAGATCTATATAATCATCTCTGGTTAATGTTTTACAGTGAACATAACAGCCAGGATCTGAGGGACTCTTATCCTTGGTAACACCTGAAACAAGGAACATCGCAATGCGATGCAACCAGGTTTTCAGCAAAATATTTCACAGAAGCTTTGTCATGAAGGGGCATTTGTTTTTAATTGAACTTTTAGGAGGAATTATGGCTTTTTTAATATTCCTCAAACAAAAATGATTGAGAAATTTTATGTTGTCTATTCGCCTTTTTTCCCCAAATGTTTTAGAAAGGTAAACAGTACTTTATTTTTGCTTAATTTTTACATTTTTGCGTCTCTTGTCATTTTCTTTTGTCAACAATATTGGCGTGTGGTGTTTTGTGCGATATCAAGAAAAGTATGTTCACAATTTTAAAAAAATACTTGAATGATGTCTTGGAAGAAACATGGGAATTTAGTGAGCGCCAGGGCACTTGATGACAAAGCTTCTGTGAAAGTTTGGTCAAAATCCATTGAGAAATGTAGGAGAAGTTGCGCACTGTAGAAATTGTTCACTATATATTCTGTATAAGGAAAAAATATACAAAGGGCCATAATTCTGTCAAATATTATCCAATCACAAAACCCCGACAATATGTGCCAGGCACTTGAAAACAAAGCTTCTAAGAAAGTTTGGTCAAAATCCGTTGAGAAATGTAGGAGGAGTTGAGCACAGAAGAAATTGTTCTCTATATATTCTGTATAAGGAAAAAATATACAAAGGGCCATAATTCGGTCAAATATTATCCAATCACAAAACCCCAACAATATGTGCCAGGCACTTGATAACAAAGCTTCTAAGAAAGTTTGGTCAAAATCCGTTGAGAAATGTAGGAGGAGTTGCGCACAGAAGAAATTGTTCACTATATATTCTATATAAGGAAAAAAAACAAATGGCCATAATTAGGTCAAATATATACCAATCGCAAAACCCTGGCAATATGTGTCAGGGCACTTGATGACAAAGCTTCTGAGAAAGTTTGGTCAAAATCCGATGAGAAATGTAGGAGGAGTTGCGCACAGAAGAAATTGTTCACTATATATTTTATATAAGGAAAAAAAAACAAAGGGCCATAATTAGGTCAAATATTATCTAATCGCAAAACCCCGACAATATGCGCCAGGGCACTTGATGACAAAGCTTCTGTGAAAGTTTGGTCAAAATCCGTTGAGAAATGTAGGAGGAGTTGAGCACAGAAGAAATTGTTCACTATATATTCTATATAAGGAAAAAAAACAAATGGCCATAATTAGGTCAAATATATACCAATCGCAAAACCCTGGCAATATGTGTCAGGGCACTTGATGACAAAGCTTCTGAGAAAGTTTGGTCAAAATCCGTTGAGAAATGTAGGAGGAGTTGCGCACAGAAGAAATTGTTCACTATATATTTTATATAAGGAAAAAAAAACAAAGGGCCATAATTAGGTCAAATATTATCTAATCGCAAAACCCCGACAATATGCGCCAGGGCACTTGATGACAAAGCTTCTGTGAAAGTTTGGTCAAAATCCGTTGAGAAATGTAGGAGGAGTTGAGCACAGAAGAAATTGTTCACTATATATTCTATATAAGGAAAAAAAACAAAGGGCTATAATTAGGTCAAATATATACCAATCGCAAAACCCTGGCAATATGTGTCAGGGCACTTGATGACAAAGCTTCTGAGAAAGTTTGGTCAAAATCCGTTGAGAAATGTAGGAGGAGTTGCGCACAGAAGAAATTGTTCACTATATATTTTATATAAGGAAAAAAAACAAAGGGCCATAATTAGGTCAAATATTATCTAATCGCAAAACCCCGACAATATGCGCCAGGGCACTTGATGACAAAGCTTCTGTGAAAGTTTGGTCAAAATCCGTTGAGAAATGTAGGAGGAGTTGCGCACAGAAGAAATTGTTTACGCCCGCCCGTCCGCCCGCCCGCCCGCCGACATACCTCAATCTAATAACCAGTTTTTTCCTTCGGAAAACCTGGTTAAAAATTAAGTTAACAACAAATAACAACAATCAATATTGGTAACACAGTAGTGAGATGCTCCATGTTGTTACTTTGACATAGCCTTATGAGGAAATGTGCAAAAAAATAATTGTTTTGCCTCCTTGATATTGACCAAGAAACCTGACTGGTTCATTGGGTTATAGGCCACACTGTCACAGTCATATGGCAACATTACAGCAGCTTTATTTGTGGAGGTGCCCTTCCATGCATTATTTCAGGCACAAACGGGCACCTAAGTAGAATCACCAAGCTAGCTGAATAGCTTCAACTCATGAAAGAATCCATAGTCGCGGTCAGGATTCGAACCCACAGCGGTGAAGTTAAGAAACCGGACACCCTACAGAAAAGTAAAATGGCATCGAAGGAATCAACATAACATTACTATCTAGATATCAGTCAATAAATGAAGATGTTAAGAGCAAAAGTACTATTAAGTATGACTGAAAGATTGGAGGAAAAATAGGTAACTACCATAAGACCTCTGCAAAATAACACCTTTTAGGAGACAAAAATGTTTGTTGCTGCCGAGAAGGTGTTGCTCTCAAGAGCTTAAATTCATTGAGAAGTCTTATTTTAGGAATTGCTGACAGGGTGTTGCTTCAGAGAGAATAAATTTGTTAAAATAAGAATTGATACTATTGTAGAGAAGTTATTGCTCTGTAAAGGTTGCAATGTACTTATTCTACCTAAACATTAAGATGAGCATAGGAAAAATACTCCTTTATCTAGGGTGTTAAAAAATCTAAGAATGAGTGGATTTTTAAAAAGAAACAAAAGAAAGTCAAGTCTGGCACTGAAAACCTTTTTTTTCTTTCTCCTAATACAAAACATCCTCTTTTTATTACATTCAACATTGGAATATATTAATCAGTCTAGTTCTAACAATGAAAATTATTTTCACAAATAACAGGCAACAGACACAATACAAAGTTTTCTGCAATAATTATAGTAGGTTAAAAAACACTTCCAAAATGTTGGAGGTAATGCAAATAGAACAGCTAGCAGTCATACCATACAAAATATGTTACATGGACTTGCCCAGGTTTTAATATGGACAAAACCATTCATTAATATTAGGGAAAATTCTTACTATGAATGGGCTGCAAAGGGCACAATGCAGACTATGATTAGATGGCAAGAATTTGCCCGCTGATTTTGGTCTGCACTGGTTGCATGGATATAAAATCAGTTGCTGACAATAGACTGAGGTTTTTTTATGAAAATAGGAGCATAAAAATAGGAGCATAAAAATAGGAGCACAAGGAGCATAAAAATAGGAGCTTAAAAATAGGAGCATAAGGAGCATAAAGATAGGAGCATAAAATAGGTTACCATGACAACCATCTGGTGTTTCAAAGAGCTCAGTTGTCATCAACACTATACCATAGTAAGCAAATGCTGATACCAACCTGAAAAATATGAAAATATATATATATATGTTAAAATCACAAAATTATTGATAGTAATCTAAAAGAAAATCAATACACTTTTACAACGTCATTTAAACTATATGCCTCCAAATGAGACAAATATTTCAAGAAAATCCACTGTGATAAAAATGTAAAGTAGAGAACTTAAGGAATGCATTAAAATTTGCAATTCAATTACTGATTTACATGTTATATGAAATAAATGACTGACTTTGCAGTATTTATCACCATATTTCTACTGCGTTACTAATATAGTAAGGGCCATTTTTGCACATTTCAACCTTTATTTGATAATTTATGTGGACTAAAAGTGGTGTATGCAATGTGTAAATTACTTTCTTTGTTCACTTGACATTTTTTTTACATTTTATTACATTTTCAAAATTTTCTTGAAAATTAGCTGGAATCTGTAGGCATGCTGCTTTAAACTAAGATGATAAGGAAACTATGAAAAGGATAAAAATTTGTAACAGAAATCTTAGTGGTTACACAAAATCACTGTAGCATGTCTTACAAGCCTCTACAATCAAATGTGTTCCTCACTGTACCCTCGTCTTGCAATTAAAAGCACTATGATTTATTTTGGAAGCCTATACTTTTCTTTTTAAAACAGGCGGTAGACTTGTTACTCCCCTTAATTACATTGAAACAAGAGCACTGCCCAATATTTTATTTGATAACGAGAATGAAAAATTTCAAATATGTTACAGTTGAAAATAAAACCTGACCCATTTTTTTCATTTGCATTAGTTCTCTGCTCCATACAGATCATTAAATGTTTTGCGGTATTGACATTAGGTTAACTGTGTTTCAAATAAAAAGGAACAACATATATGCAAAAGAAAGGAATATTATAACCTACCATATTGCCCATAAAATAATGGTGGTGCGAAACAACTCGGGAATAAACAGATCTTTAACACTACCTCTTTTTACTCCCTGAAAAATAAACAGAAGATTTTGATGTTTTATATGCCTTTCTGAATATATTACAACATTCAGTTATGTACATGTACTAAATGTATTATAATATATGTACATTCAATAGAAAAAGGGGCATAACTGGAAGGATTTTTTTTATAATTTCTCAATAAACAACTACAGAAAAAACAAAATCTGTTCCTCAGAATTTCAGCAAATTTTGCTCTGTGACAGGGAATAAATTAATAAATGCAAATATATGCAAATGAGGTGTTGCTTTCTGCAGTTTATCTGCTCATAAAAATAACCTCAAAGAGCAAGACTCACTATCAGGGCAGCTTGCTTTGAAGTTTGGTAAGTCCACTGTAATTTCAACAAATACCTCAAATTATGGCCACCGGACAGGATTAAGTCTGTTCCGGCAGCACAGATGTGCAGGATTATCATTATACCCATAGTATATGCGAGACCCAATCTTCCAAGTTTATTCCTGCTAACATTCAGAGTTCTAAACATCATCAGACATTTAACATGTTTAATAGAAATAATACCAAATAATTGTATAAAAATAACAATTACTACCTTTATTGAAGGTTCTACAAGTGTTCCTAACGGCATGGGTTTTCCGTTTTCCCTGGCTATACGCTCTAACGTAGCTAATGCACGAGTTCTGTTTCCACGTGTCATATCAAATCTGGCACTCTCAGGTAGCCACTGTAACATATACGGCATCATTCACAACTTTAACAAACCAAAAGTCAAAAAATCTTTGTAATATTTAATGGAAATCTTGTCACTGCAATGGTATTGAACAGTTCAAATGGTATAGCAGATATAAACTAAGAAAGACTTGGAACATTGTGATATTTCTAAGATATTGTGATACTAAATTGTGATATTTCTAAGATATTGTGATACTAAATTGTGATATTTCTAAGATATTGTGATACAAAATTGTGATATTTCTAAGATATTGTGATACAAAATTGTGATATTTCTAAGATATTGTGATACTAAATTGTGATATTTCTAAGATATTGTGATACTAAATTGTGACATTTCTAAGAAATTGTGTCAATATCATGATGTTTCTAAGATATTGTGATACTGTATTGTGATATTTCTAAGAAATTGTGATACTAAATTGTGATATTTCTAAGAAATTGTGTCAATATCATGATGTTTCTAAGATATTGTGATACTATATTGTGATATTTCTAAGATATTGTGATACTAAATTGTGATATTTCTAAGATATTGTGATACTAAATTGTGATATTTCTAAGATATTGTGATACTAAATTGTGACATTTCTAAGAAATTGTGTCAATATCATGATGTTTCTAAGATATTGTGATACTAAATTGTGATATTTCTAAGAAATTGTGATACTAAATTGTGATATTTCTAAGAAATTGTGTCAATATCATGTTTCTAAGATATTGTGATACTATATTGTGATATTTCTAAGATATTGTGATACTATATTGTGATATTTCTAAGATATTGTGATACTAAATTGTGATATTTCTAAGATATTGTGATACTATATTGTGATATTTCTAAGATATTGTGATACTATATTGTGATATTTCTAAGATATTGTGATACTAAATTGTGATATTTCTAAGAAATTGTGTCAATATCATGTTTCTAAGATATTGTGATACTATATTGTGATATTTCTAAGATATTGTGATACTGTATTGTGATATTTCTAAGATATGGTGATAGTATCGTGATACTGTACCGTGATACTGTACCGTCATATTTCTATGATATTGTGATAATATTGTGATACATTTTCAGCAGCAATACCCAACTCTTATACTTACAAAACAGCAGCAGGAGAAGAAGAGAAGTGGTATAGCCGAGAGACCCAACAACCAGCGCCATCCTAAAGTTGGCATCACCACTAGCGCCAGTAATACCTCAAAACATGCTCCTATAGCCCAGAATATCTGTAACAAATAAACCGCAAAGAATTTTTAACAAATCTTTATATTTTAACTGATAGAAGACAGGTTCCTTTACGTTTTCACTATTTTGCTACGTACAAGATGGATGTACCTATCCCATACACAGTATCATTTATTTGCCATCCAGACCTTTATAGTCAAACCTGTGTTAAAGATAGAGCTGTCATTGATTCAGTGCTAAGCATATGAATTATATACCACTATCGGATGACAAATATCAACGATATATCGATAATTACCCATAATTACTTATCTGTCATTCACTTTCATACCTTTTTTAAGTTAAAATACATTTTCTGTTCAGTGTCTTGTTTATACATGCCCATTGCATGATTTTCTTTCCTGACCATATTTTTTTCATTGCTATGAAATATTTTTATTATGTAACAACAGCTTAGTGTTAGACATGGAAACCTGCTACTGTATGTTTTGGGTGAAATTATATATGTCTAGAAATGTGTATCGATTATTGATCAATAGAAAAATATCAAAGACACATCAATATTGTTTCTATCGATGACAGCTCTAGTTAAAGATCAACCTGTACAATATCATCAAGTCCATTCTTCAAAAAAACCTTCACAGAATAAAGTCCACTTGTCTATAAAACCCATGTTTGGTCTCTCCATTGGATAACATTTCTCACCGGTTTGACAGTACAGTGCACACCAGTAAGATATTAAAAGATTTATTATGTTTATTGATTTTTATAAAACCTTTGGTATGAGCATGGAAAAATATCATTCTATCTTAATTTCCTTCATTTTTTTCTTTGTGAAAAGGCTAGTTTTTCTTCTTACTTTCCTTCATTATCTTCCGGAAAAGGCTAGCTTTTCTATAAATGTATCTGATAAATAGCAATCAATCTTGATATAACATATTCCTGTAGTTCTAGAAATGTCCTAGGCTAATACACTGTAATTACACAATTACATTTCTGGCATGGAAATTAATAAGCATCTATGGCAATAACTACATTTCCATGCTAAACAATACAATATACATGTACTGTCAATCCTTCTAACATTGGCAAATATAGTTGGCAAATATCATAGCAAATCGGTTATTTCCGAAACGTTATTTTTTCAAGAAGTTGAGCATAAGATTATTTACAATCATTCATCCCTTTATCCCTATGTTCTTAATGCCGGCAATAAGCAGTTATAAAATATTGAATACCAAAGAATGTGAAAAATAACGTCTATGAAATGGCTGATTTCTTACGATATTTGCTGATGTTTTAATTTTTTGGTGGGAAAGCATTACTGCAAGACTACCTTAAATACATTGTACCTGAAAAAATCTTACCTCTACTAATATAACACAGGTTGCTCTGGATGCAGTTGGCAAAAACTCTGAATACAAAGTCACTCTGAAAATATAATATAAAGTGATTTAAATAGTTGCTTAATTCTCTTAACGCAAGCCAGCAATATCTACTTGCTTATGCTACCAATGTAAAGATAGGTCAGTCTGGTTTTTGCTACTGAAACCTCTTATTAGGTAACAATTAATAGTTCCTATCTCAAAAGTGAGCAATCCATTATACTTGTTTGCTTTGTTTCAATTGGGTTATACGTCACACCGACACATTATAGGTCATATGGCAACGTTCCAGCTTTACTGGTGGAGGAAGACCTCAGATGCCCTTCCGTGCATTATTTCAGGCACGAACGGGCACCTGAGTAAAACCAATGACATTCTGTTAGCTAGCAGGATAGCTTCCTCACATGAAAGAATCCAAAGTCCAGTCGGGATTTGAACCCACAGCGGTAAGGGGCAAGTGGTTTGAAGTCAACGACCTTAACCACTCAGCCACGGACTCCCCTAATCCATTATACAAATCAAACATTTAACCCTTACTCTCCTGAATTTTTTAACTGGAGTTGCCCACTTTTCATTTTTGGGACAGTCTACTATCAACTATGGGGTAGTCAAGATAAAAATTCAAGTAAGCCAGTCATCACTGTAAAGGGCCTAGTCTGACTGCATGTAAGTACAGGCTGGCCTGGATCAACACTGGTGGCAAAAGGCTAACCACTTTCAGTTCCAGCAAGTTATTGGTTAAATATTCATGTAGATATTTCAAAGCAAGATCGTTACATAATAGCAGCGGAATTAATGGTTGTGTTAGATAATTTTTGTAACAACTTTATTACATAAATATTATAGTATACCTAAATAGGCAAAAAATGGTACAATCCCAAACTTTAACAGAGAATTATGGGTACGACTATAAAGATATACTTACGATTGTGGAGCTCCACCTATTCCAAAGCCAACTAGACCTCGTAAAATTAGTAACCAGATAAAGTTTGGTGCAAATGCACTGGCGAAACCAAAGTAACAAGTGAACACGGAACACAAAATTAACTCCTGAAATATAAATTTCATTATAACTATTTCATACTATACAGATTTAAAGTTAGGAATATAACTTCAATGCTGTTACGAGGGGAGGGTGGGAGTAAGGGGTGTGTGAAAAGGACTATAGGCAATCAGTTTTAAATCAGAGGGGTAAAATTAAAGATGTGATCATATGTTATGTACGTAGATTTAAAGCTAGGAATAAAAATTCAATGCTGTATAAAGAGGGGAGGGTGGGGGTGAGAGCAGGCCAGGAGGGCAAGGCCATCAATTTTAAATTGGTGGGGGAGGGGTAAAAAATAAACAAGATTTTACCATAGGTATAAAATAAAGAAATTAATAAAAGGCCATTGAATTTTACCAGTAAGGCATACATATGGCACCATGAGACCTAATAAGGGCACTTCATGCAATGCCAGCCTGTTTCATGCATTACAAGGCCTAATTGTAGCACTTTGAGGCTTAACTCTGGCAATACAAGGCTCTACTTTGGCAGTCCCTGTAATGTACCAAATTAAAATGCCAACAATTTTTCTTGATTGTACAGTAAATTCAGCTTTACATGATACTGAGGGAACTGCCGAATTTATACATGTATTATCAAAATTCGGACACTGTTATAATACGGATAATGCTTATTGCTATATCATTTGAAAACAGGAAATGGAAGCGCTTGATAGATATAGGGAAAACGTTGTTTTGAATAGAGTAAGTGTAGAAGGACTGAGTCGGGACAGCGGCAACAGCATGGTCATAAAGCTTATATTGTTATATGCTATATCTTATTAAGTGAAGTTTACTGTAGTAAGAAAAAGCACGTAAAATCTTTTAATATGATTTTGTTAAATTTTCTGAGAAATTATCTCCTTCAAATATGCATACAGTGTGTATATGCAAACTCAATTACTGATCAAAATTTTTGTTTAGAAGAGGAAAAACTTACAGATTTTCTACCATATTTATCACACAGACTCCCCCATATACTAGAGCTGCACATCATTCCACAGAACACAATCTGTAAAATCAGTAAGTTAATGACTCAAATATTTGCCATGAAACACTTCATCTATTGTAATATATACTTGAATAGATTCCATGTAATACCGTTTTTGTTTTGTTATAATGCATCACATGCTCATAGGCAATATTGACTTTCCATTGCACACACCTTATAATGCTGGTAGTTGAAACAAAATCACTATACTGGTTTAAACCAGGACATTTTACATTATTTTGTTCATTAACCGATTCTGCTTCAAAATTTCAAAACTTCATTTTTTTTTTCTTCATTCATATTCAAATCATTCAGCTAATAAAACAAGCTTTTCAAGCTTATAACAACAAAAGAATACCGGTACATTGTGTTCTTGAATAAAAGTTTAGACATGGAAGATTTTAGTTTATCATTTAAATACATGTATTTTAGACATGGTAGACTTAAGTTATTTAAATACATGTATTTTGTAATCAATAACAATGTCACTTTGCATAGCACAATTTCAACTTTCCTGAAAATGTTTCAACCTTCTACCCACACTAATTTTAGAATATCTGCTCAAAGTTAATAGCACATAATTAAAAGTTAATTGACCCTGAAAACATCTATAATCTAATAAACATGTTTCTGAGGAAATACTCTGGAATAAAATTGACTTGAATGTGATGTAACATCCCCAGACTGAACTTCCGTCATATTATGATGTCTCGTGTAACACAGTACTGTTATATGCATGATCAAACAACTTGCACATATTTGCTTTCATAGGAGATAGAAATAGGTTAGAGCGCCAGACTTGTAATCTTGACATTGTGGGTTCCATTCCCTGGATGACCAACTAAAATACTGATAAGTCTTTCAGATGAGACTTGAGGTCCCGTGTATGAATGCTTAAACACTTGATATGTTAAAGAACCAGAAGAAGCTTCTGGAATTGGGTCATCTTTCTGTATCTGTACCTTGCCATATCCTCCAAAATCTAAAATGACTAATACTCTTCTGGAGGACTGGCCCTTATGAGCAACCGGTGGCTAGTATAAATACACCCAAATACACACAATGATATAGAATTCTTGTATTTGACTCTTTCAGTTCTAGTCTCCACTAAACTGGACCAACAAGTATAACACATGAGTAAACTTCAGTTAGGACATTTAAAAAAATGCCAAAACAGAAAATTTACAATACACCTGTTCAGTACTTTTAGAGCAATTACCAATTATTCTTGTTTACTTGTTACTGAGGAATGATCCTATATTAAAACACTCACTGTGAACCTGTCTTTTCTTGAGCTAAAAACAGAAGAGTTGATTATCTTAAAAAACATTATGCAGTACAAATTATACATGGGTAGTTAATACCCAAGTAAGATATATAGTTCATAGTTACCGTGGTAATAAGGGCTTGTTTCCACTCATTTATCTGCCAGTCACAATGCAGTGCTGGTGACAATATTGAAAGTATCATCATCTCCATAGCATCTGCCATCTGTAAATATAAAACAGTGCAACTGCCATTTATGTATATAAATAAAGTAACTGCCATCTGTAAATATAAACATAGCAACAATAATCTAAGAATATGAACTGCATCTACCATTTGAAAATATATCATCTGTGACTACAATCTGTAAATACAAATATATCATCTGTGACTGTCAGCTGTAAATGCAAACATATAGTATGTGCTTGCCATCTGTAAAAACAAACATATAGTTTGTGGCTGTCACATATAATGTGACTGCCATCTGTAACTACAAACATATCATCTGTGACTGCCACCTGTTAACACAAACATATCACCTGTGACTGTCATCTGTAAATACTTACAGACATACTCAAATGGACTAAGGGGCCATTTCTATTGTTATTTTCATTTGTTTAATAGAGGGCCATGGCCCCTTATTCTATTGTTACGGAATGAACTTCATTGTTCTCTTTTGTTCTGTTTACAATTACATGGCCCCTTACTTCTCTAAAATAGCAGGGACAGATAGACAGTGAAGGCAAAAACAATATGTCTTCCAAAAATTTTGGGAGACATAATGATGTTATACAGTAAAAACTCTGAAAACTGGACCCTCTGAAAACCGGAATCCTCTAAAAACCGGACCATTTTAAAAGTCCCGTATTTTCTCCCTATAAAAAAATTATGTTCATTGAAAAAAAATCCTCTGAATACCGGAACCTCTGAATTCCAAAAACCGGACAATTTTCTATGGTTTCTAATGCTAAACATGCATAAAAAATCCTCTGAAAACCGGACAGCAATTTAAAGTGTCAACTTTCTGTGTACTTTAATGTAGATCTTAACACAATCTCAACAGGTGACATGTTCAAATACCAGGTAATGGTCATCTCCTTTTATATATGCAGGTGTGAAAACACTTGTCAGTGTATGTTAATGTCTTATTGTCAATTAAATTATAGCTCTTTCATCATATTTGTGTCTTTCCTCCTATAGATATGATTTTTCAAAAATGTTTTTAATGTGTTATGTTTTCTTTTAAATATAAAATGTCTAAAAGAGTTGGGAATCTTTTTTTAAATGATTCCTGTTTTGCTTTAAATTTTGATCTTGAAGTAATCTTTGTTTTGATATCAATTATATGCAAAAATTGTAATACTTAAAAAATTCCTTTAATTACATATTTCAAAGCTAATGAAAAAGATATTATGATATATTTCAGACAATATGGTGTTTTAATTTCTGATTTTCTGAATTATATTCATTTTGCATAAAAAATCACTTAAAACATTTATTGCAAAAAGAAATTATAATGTAACTTAAACCAAAGGGTTAAAAAGTAAATACAAAATGATTGAACAAAGTCATTGTTCAAACGGAAGACGGACAAAACCCCACCAGTTAAAACCCCACCACTCAAAATTTTATAGAGTGGACAAAACCCCACCACTTAATTTTAAAGAGTGGACAAAACCCCACCACTAAATTTCATTGAGTGGACAAAACCCCACCACTTATTGGGCAAGATTTGATGAATTATAATATATATAATATACACATATTTTTCACATTTTATTTTTTAATTTCAAATAACATTTGTGTAATATAAGAATGAACAATATTATTAACAATGCATGTACATCTTGCATGTGCAATATGCAAAAAAGGTGTTACAAACTGTACACAAAAAAACTTAATCCTAATCCCTGAAGAACAGAACAGATTATTTATTGATGTTTTGATTGCAAAAAAGGTGTTACAAACTGTAACTCCTTATTGATGAGTTGTTCACACATTATTTAGAGTTTCTGCTTATGCACAATTGTTTGTTTTTTAACATGTTTACAAGAAAGTTTAGTCCACTCTATAAAACTGATGTGGTGGGGTTTTGTCCACTCTGTAAAATTTAGTGGTGGGGTTTTGTCCACTCTATGAAATGTAGTGGTGGGGTTTTGTCCACTCTATAAAATTTTGAGTGGTGGGGTTTTAACTGGTGGGGTTTTGTCCTACATTCTGTTCAAACACATCAAAATTATCAATGAATATACAAAACCTCTGAAAACCGGAATCCTCTGAAAACCAGACTTTTGGTCAAGTCCGGACAGGGTCCGGTTTTTAGAGTTTTTACTGTAGTTCTTAAAAATGCATTTCATTACTAGCAAACAAATCTTTGAAAGATGTTCAAAACTTGCAGTCAGATTTTTACCATCTTACTAAATGAATAGATGGCATTTACTTCATTTTACTTTACATAATAGACTTCAATGATAAAGTATGAAAATAGGTTATTTTTTCACAATAAACATAATGCAGTCAGTAATATATAAATCAAACTTTGATGACAAAATTGATTTACATTATAAATGTCCAATTAAACAAGGTCTTACCCATGCAACTCCAGTCAGTACGGACAGTTTGACCTGGAACTTGCCAAATCCTATGTTGTCTATAGCCTGCTGTATAGTAAATGTATCTGAAATTAGAAACAATTCATTACATCAAACATATATCCTTGATATATTAATTCATTCCATTGTTTTTCTCACTTAATTTGGAAAAACCCTCAGCCTCTTGATTTTGGGAAAAGTTATTGTTAAAATTGCTCATTTGGGTGCTGTAAGTTTAAATTTTTGGAAAAACTGCATGATTTTTAAGAACATTTCCATTGGGAAGAGGCCTTTGTTGTTGAAGGTGAAAAATCTCTGTCATTCAAGTAATCATGCATATATATATATAATACATATAAGCTAACACTGAATAAAATATGATTGTTCTTTATATAGAGTGGGCACTTATTTTCATGTTTTTGTCAAACTGTTAAAATTTAACTGCATGTACATTTAACATGTGAGAAATATTATATCTGTTACAAAAAGAGAGCACAAACATAATACAAGCTGACTACCAACAGTTTTCAGTTTTATTAGAAATTTTGGTACAATATGATTTCCTAATCCTCAATGTTGGACTTTTACCATTATCATGTTCTAGTATGATATAAGAAACTGCATACAGTACTTCAGACTTTATGGCTTTATAGTGACCTCAGGTTAGCCCCAATCATTGAAAGAACCTCTGAGCCTTCAGCTTTGGTCTGGTAAATATTTAGGGGCCATCTGATTGGTCACTATAATTCTGTAAGGCCTGTCGTGCTAGATTTAAAGTTATAAAGGTTAAGAGATAAAACAAGAAATATAGTTTTCTGAGTTTGAGTTTACGAATTATAAGAAAACTATTTTCCCTTGTGTGTAATTGAGTCACGGGTAGATGATTTCGCACTGCATGGTAAATATTTCGACAAAATTGAAACAATCATTATCTACAATTCTTCAAAGTTAGGAGTTTAAAGATTAAAATAGCTTTAAAATCAGCTCTATAAAACCACCTGTCACATGCTATTAAACTACCTGTCATCTATATTCACAGTTACCCATTAGTTTCCTTTGAATAGAGAATTTCTAAACAAACTTACAGCATATAGTGAAGTAACTAAAGGACATTTCAACCTTAATTAACAAACCACCTGTCATGAATGCCCACATTGACCATATCTGATTTGTCGTTTCTTTTTTTTTTTCTTAAAAGAGAAGTTTTTTCCCTATTCAAGCTTAGCTGTTCCGTACATACATATATATATTTTACACATACTACATTTATTTGATTTACTTTACAATTAATAAAGCAATAGCGTTTCGCTTGTGATTCATTAGTCAATGAATAGATGTAAATGACAAATAGATTTGGGAGGCTGTCACCAGCCGGAATGTTTTCACACTTGTATAAACATCAATAAAATATCCACTACAATAGTTTATTGATTATACGTTACAGCTATCAGTAAATCTTGTACAAATTAATTCCTTTCGCAGATTACTAGCAGAAATTTTTACTTGTCAGCAAAATATCTGCAATCAACAGCAATATTAGTTAATTCTAGACAACTTTTTTTTTAAATGCACATGTCGGCTTAGTTTTCTTAAATGGACTTGTCCACCTGTCACTTTAGAAACTGTTCATTATCAGTTTTGGGGGTATCAGAATTGCTACTTCAGGAATTGTTCATTATCAATTTTGGGAATATCACAATGAAATGCCACTTTTGGAACTGTCCATTATCAAATGCTACTTTAGGAACTGTCCAATATCAATTTTGGGGAGATCACAATGAAATGCTACTTCAGGAACTGTCCATTATCAATTTTGGGGATATCACAATGAAATGCCACTTTAGGAACTGTCAATTATCAATTTGGGGGATATCACAATGAAATGCCACTTTAGGAACTGTCCATTATCAATTTTGGGGATATCACCATGAAATGCCACTTTAGGAACTGTCCATTATCAATTTTGGGGATATCACAATGAAATGCCACTTGAGGAACTGTCCATTATCAATTTTGGGGATATCACCATGGAATGCCACTTTAGGTATTATCCATTATCAATTTTGGGGATATCACCATGAAATGCCACTTTAGGAACTGTCCATTATCAATTTTGGAGATATCACCATGAAATGCCACTTTAGGAACCTATCCATTATCAATTTTGGGTAGATCACCATGAAATGCCACTTTAGGAATTGTCCATTTTCAATTTGGGGATATAACCATGAAATGCCACTTTAGGAATTGTCCATTATCAATTTTGGGGATATCACCATGAAATGGCACTTTAAGAACTGTCCATTTTCAACTTGGGGATAACACCATGAAATGCCACTTTAGGAACTGTCCATTATCAATTTGGGGATATCATCATGAAAATTCAGACTGCATGTGCTGGTCTTAGCGCTGTTATTGATAGCAAAGACTTCTCACCTGTTGGTTCCTAGCAGGCAAAGATTGTGATTAATTTGTTCTGTGAAGAAAATAAACAAGGTTTTTTTTTAATTTTAACCCAAGATTCAGATAAAAATTATTAAACCGGAAGAGAAAAATACTTACAGTAGTGTTCTATTTGTCAACATAAATTGTTATCACAAACTTTAACAATTTGAAGGGATATATATACCAAGATAAGAAATGTAGGCAATCAGTCACAAGGCTCAGGGGACACTGGATTGTTATCACTTGCCCCTCACTCTTGTGAGTTTGAATCTTCTTGCGAATGAATATCTAATGAGAAATGTAGGCCTCTCAGGTAATCAGTCACACAGGTCTGGTGACACTGGATTGCTATTGCTTGCAATAAACTTGTGAGTTTGAATCTTCCTGGGGTGGGGGGGGGATGAATATCTGATGGGAAATGTAGGCCTCTCTGGCAGTCAGTCACAAGGCTTAAGGGCCACTGGATTGTTATCACTCTTGTGAGTTTGAATCTTCCTGGAGACAAACAATATTCTGCTAGCTTATGTTTGGTACATAGTTCCACTTAGAGGATGCTTTTAATCATGCAAAGATTTATACAATGTGGGTGTGAGGGGTGGGGGAGGGGGGGTGAGGGGTGTTTGGCACACCTGAGATATTCCTCTATCAGTAAGACTGGAAATTGAAGTGCCTTTTATACCCTGATAGTAACATATTAAATTTGGGGCTTGTTATCTATTCCCTGACCATAGTTTCAACCATATTTTCATCTTCTTTTATTTCTGATATTCCGCATTTGTCGGGTTCTGGATTAACAAATATTGGTTTTTGCGAATATATTAACAATTTGACATATTGATTGCCAATAACAGTGCACGCGCTAATGAATTAAAGTCTTCATTAGCATGTTGAAATCATTTACGAACTTTAGTGTTACCATGGGGTTCTCCATTCAAAATCCTATTATAATTTTCTAGACAATATTTGTTCAGATTTACAATAATACTGTTAAAAGGTTAATGAATATTTTTAGGAAAATATACATACATGTACTTATAAAATGCGGCTTTTAAGCATAGAAAGCTACCGTATATACTTTTGTATTTATTGCCTGTATTTTACCAAATTATTGTTTGAATTTTGAAGAAGAATATTTCCGAACTACCTTTATGAAAGAAATATGATTGTATTTATAATTTCCCAAAAGTAAATAGCTCATGCATGAAATCATTGCTAAACAGTAAAAACCCTTAATTAAACTAGCAGAATAATATTTTGTTTTCGGAACAATCATTCTTATTTTATAGATTTGAATCTGCCAAAACAATTTGCAAATAAATGATTATCAAATCATAAACGATTATCTTTTTATATTATCTTTTGCAAAAATTCAATTTTAAGTCTACCATTTCAGGCTTTATAACATCAGAGGAGTTCTTTTAAATTAAAGACAGCATACTAATCCATCCCTTAGTGTCCAACTTTATTTGTCATCCAATGAAAACGCTGTATTTCTTAAAAAAATGTGTGCGTTAATTTTCATAGAAGAACAAAAGTCGATACTATATTGAAATACGTTCATAGTCGACATCTATTTTTCATAGTACCTCATAGAACCGCATAGTGACGTAATAAAGTAAATAAAAATGAGGCCAAATAAAGCTTGACACTAAATATGTAAGTATTCATCCGTAGCTGTTCTACAGAAATTAGAAACAGTCCCCTGTCGCTATTGCTCCCGTCGAAGTTTCTAATTTCTGTAGAACAGCACGGATGAACACAACTTTACCAATGCCGACTATGATAAAAAAAACAAAACAACATATAGAGGATATTTGTTTAGTTTAGTGTAAGATCGGAATATATTTCACCGAGTGAGCACCAAAAGGTATATTTCACGAGTGGCGCAGCCACGAGTGAAATATGAACTTTTAGTGTTCACAAGGTGAAATATATTTCGATCTTACGCTGAAATAAACAAATTTTCTTTTTATTATATGCAAATAAACATTTTAAAAAGACATTAAATCTAATACTGAATGAAAAGCGCGCCAAATAATAATACAACGTGACGTCATTTACGACGTCACGTCATTAAGTTGGTACCCAGTACTGTGCACGCTGGTTTTTCACTGAAACAACGTAAGGGGCTTAAATTCAAAACAGTGAAATTATCAAAGTGGTAATTTCACTGTTTCAAACAGTGAAATTACCAGTTTTATATCACTGATATATTTCTATAAACCACCGAAAAGCATGTAATAAAAGCTGTTATCTCTTATCTTTTCTATATAGAAGAAATCATTTAAGATAATAACGTCTCATAACACATGATGAATACAAATTCACACAAAAATATCATCATTCTATATTTGATGTTGATGAACTATAAGGAGATGGGTGACATTATAGAAATGCCTTTAATACACTTGTTACTATATATAGTAACAAAATTGCCTATGATTTCAACTGATTATGAGTGTCACGTGACCTATTATGAGTTTGCGGCCCGGGGCCGAGAACTAGTTATCAGCCCGCAGAACATGTGCACGTGCACAAACTAAAACAATGACGTCACTTTTAACGTCATCAAACAGTTAACTGTAAAAGTGAAAGTAGGCTGTCAGCACGAATCGCTTTATTTTTATTATGAGACCTTAAG